GCCCATTGGCATCATCAAAAAGTGCTTCTTGGCCTTCCTCTTGGGGCACATTGCCTTGGTACTGGTCATCCCTGGCTTGGATCAATCCTTTCAGTGTGGTGGAAGAGGACAAGCTGGCATTCTTGGCAACTTTGCCTCCATGGATGAATTGGACTATGGGGAAGCTAGTTGGCCTCAGCTTGAGGTATTGGTGGCCATCAAATTGGATGATCAGGTCTTTGGGCAAGCAGATGGGCTTCTCATCCTGGAATTTGAGCTCCACCCTGCTGCTGATCTCTACCATGGCGCAGGTGTGGAACAAATATAGTGGTGCAGCTGGGTGCTGGCACTTTGGGCTGGTTTTGAAACATTGAAATGGCAGCCATATCAAAAATATATGCACATGCAAAAGAATGGGCAGCCATCAGTGGCTTTGAGACACAAGATCCAAGCTTGGATGGCCAGGTGGCCCTTGCACAGCATACATATCACCAATTGGATTTTGCACAGAAAAAAATCAAATTTTTGTCTGCCAACTTGGTGTGGGTCATTTTCAATGTGGTCACCACCCTATATTCATGTGTTGGCCAAATGAATTTTGATTTCCAAATTTTGAAAAATAAAAATAGGTATGTTGATACATTTTCCTTGTAAACTATATACTTAAATATGATACTGGATCAGAACAAAAAAGGCCCCAAAGTTATAGAGAGTTAGCAGAGTTAACTAGAGATAGCTAAAAAAGTAACTTTAATAGCAACATATGTTAATCATACTTAAATTTTAACCTTTGATATACATAGTTAAGACATTGTTAGCACATAGTTCACATATAGATAACACATAGTTAACAAAAGATGCTAACCCATGGTAACTGAGCTAACTCCTTATAACAAAGCCAGGAATGTAAGTAGCAGCAGCAGCAGGAGCAGCAGCAGCAGCAGCAGGCCCAGCAGCTGCAATCGCTTTGTTCTTAACAGAATCCAGAAGGATCCAGAAGGGACGTCAAGCCTCCGGGCAGCATGTTTTTTGGAGGTCGTTCCGTCCTTCAGTAGCATGGTGTTTCGGTGTGGCGAAGGGTGCGTTTTGGAGGCTTGCAGCACCAGCTCCAGCAGCACCACTTAGCAGCAGCAGCAACAGCAGCAGCAGCAGCAGGCCCAGCAGCTGCAATCGCTTTGTTCTTAACAGAATCCAGAAGGATCCAGAAGGGACGTCAAGCCTCGGGGCAGCATGTTTTTAGAGGTCGTTCCGTCCTTCAGTAGCATGGTGTTTCGGTGTGGTGAGGGGTACGTTTTGGAGGCTTGCAGCATCACCTCTAGCAGCAGCAGGAGCAGCAGCAGCAGCAGCAGGCCCAGCCAGCAGCTGCAATCACTTTGTTCTTAACAGAATCCAGAAGGGACGTCAAGCCTCCGGGCAGCATGTTTTTTGTGGGAGGTCGTTCCGTCTTCAGTAGCATGGTGTTTCGTGTGGGCGAAGGGTTGCGTTTGGAGGCGTGCAGCACAGCTCCGCAGCACCACTAGCAATCAGTAGCATCAGCAGACGCCAGCACCAGCATCACCAGCAGCAGCAGCACAGGGCCCAGCAGCTGAGCTTCGCTTTGTTTCTTAACAGAATCCGAGGGACGGCAAGCTCCCGGCAGATGTTTTTTTGGAGGGGTCGTTCCGTCTTTCATGTAGCAGGGTGTTTCGGTGTGGCGAAGGGTACTTTTTGGAGTCGGAGGCTTGCAGCACCAGTTCCAGCAGCACCAGCAGCAGCAGCAGGAGCAGCAGCAGCAGCAGCGTCAGGCCCAGCAGCCTGAACAAACGCGCTTTGTTTTTACCAAAATCCAACAGGGTACGTCAATCTCCGTGTCAGCATGTTTTTGGAGGTCGTTCCGTCCGTCAGTAGCATGGTGTTTCGGTGTGGCGAAGAGTGCGTTTTTGGAGCTTGCAGCACCCCGTTCCAGCAGCACCAACGCAGCAAGCATCAGGAAAAAAACAAAAGGGAGCAGCAGCACTGCAGCAGCCCAGCAGCTTCAATCGCTTTTGGTTACTTAACAGAATCCAAAGGATCCAAGGGAACGTCAAGCCTCGGGCAGCATGTTGTGAGAGGCTCGTTCCGCCTTCAGTAAGCAGGTGTTAATCGTGTGGTGAGGGTACGTTTTGAGCTTGGCAGCCATCACCTCTAGCAGCAGCAGCACCAGCAGCAGCAGCAGCAGGCCCAGCAGCTGAGCTCGCTTTGTTCTTAACAGAATCCAGAAGGGACGTCAAGCCTCCGGGCAGCATGTTTTTTGGAGGTCGTTCCGTCCTTCAGTAGCATGGTGTTTCGGTGTGGCGAAGGGTGCGTTTTGGAGGCTTGCAGCACCAGCTCCAGCAGCACCACTAGCAGCAGCAGCAGCAGCAGGAGCAGCAGCAGCAGCACCAGCAGCAGCAGCAGCAGGCCCAGCAGCTGAGCTCGCTTTGTTCTTAACAGAATCCAGAAGGGACGTCAAGCCTCCGGGCAGCATGTTTTTTGGAGGTCGTTCCGTCCTTCAGTAGCATGGTGTTTCGGTGTGGCGAAGGGTACGTTTTGGAGGCTTGCAGCACCAGCTCCAGCAGCACCACTAGCAGCAGCAGCAGCAGGAGCAGCAGCAGCAGCAGCAGCAGGCCCAGCAGCTGAACGCGCTTTGTTTTTACCAGAATCCAAAAGGGACGTCAAGCCTCCGGGCAGCATGTTTTTGGAGGTCGTTCCGTCCTTCAGTAGCATGGTGTTTCGGTGTGGCGAAGAGTGCGTTTTGGAGGCTTGCAGCACCACCTCCAGCAGCACCAACAGCAGCAGCAGCAGGAGCAGCAGCAGCAGCAGCAGGCCCAGCAGCTGCAATCGCTTTGTTCTTAACAGAATCCAGAAGGATCCAGAAGGGACGTCAAGCCTCCGGGCAGCATGTTTTTTGGAGGTCGTTCCGTCCTTCAGTAGCATGGTGTTTCGGTGTGGCGAAGGGTGCGTTTTGGAGGCTTGCAGCACCAGCTCCAGCAGCACCACTAGCAGCAGCAGCAGGAGCAGCAGCAGCAGCAGGCCCAGCAGCTGCAATCGCTTTGTTCTTAACAGAATCCAGAAGGATCCAGAAGGGACGTCAAGCCTCCGGGCAGCATGTTTTTTGGAGGTCGTTCCGTCCTTCAGTAGCATGGTGTTGCGGTGTGGCGAAGGGTGCGTTTTGGAGGCTTGCAGCACCAGCTCCAGCAGCACCACCAGCAGCAGCAGCAGGAGCAGCAGCAGCAGCAGGCCCAGCAGCTGCAATCGCTTTGTTCTTAACAGAATCCAGAAGGATCCAGAAGGGACGTCAAGCCTCGGGGCAGCATGTTTTTAGAGGTCGTTCCGTCCTTCAGTAGCATGGTGTTTCGGTGTGGTGAGGGGTACGTTTTGGAAGCCTGCAGCACCAGCGCAGCAGCGGCAGCAGCAGCAGCAGGCCCAGCAGCTAAACTCGCCTTGTTTTTACCAGAATCCAGAAGGGACGTCAAGCCTCGGGACAGCATGTTTTTGGAGGCCGTTCCGTCCTTCAGGGCCATGGTGTTTTGCTGTTAGGCATTGGTCCGTAAGTATATAATGATCTATATATACGTAATATAACGCTATATGTATGTATCTGTATATATTTGTATAATATTGTTAGAGATCACAAATAGCACGGGAGGTGGTCAACGTCAGGAAATTTGGGAATTCGAGGAACTGACGGTTCGCGAGCTGGAGAAGGGTGCTGTGGAGGTGTGCTCCCAAGAGATTGTCCAAAATGGGTTTGTCTCACACACCTTAAGCTAGGGCACCCCCAAATCCCATGCTTTATATGGTTTATCATCATTGAAACTGTGATTGGACACACTGAAAGTAATCGCCATACATTTTTGGACAACCTGTTCTCAGGTACTTTGGCCGAGGTTCCAAGTTTTGGAAGGTTGGACGCCGCAAAATTCTACATTCTGCGGCATTGGCCTTGATGCCTTGATTCTTTGGGACGTTTGGGAGGCCTTACTCAAATCATCTACGAGGCAGCTCATTTTGATGGAAACATATCCAAAAACTGGCGCTGGTTGAGCGAATGATCTGCAATGCAGGTAGCTGCGACCTGCACATGCTACCCTGAGGACAAAATGTGGTACATGTCAGCATCTCCGCATCTCCAAAGTATGAAAACAGTAAGCCTTGCTGTACTTAGTTGCGTGAATTTCTTCAAATGCAAATGTTTGAAAACAATCTCTTGCAAAAATTTTTCAATCACATAGTATGCGCACAAGTCCCTTGACTGCCTTTGAAGTATACACATTTGTTTGTTTTTGGCATTCTTATATGGCAAAACCACCAATCGTATTGCATTTTGTTTGCAGATGTTCTCCCAGAGTTTTCGATGCTTTCCGCAAACTTGGAATGTTACAGTCCTACAATGGGATTAACACGTGAGCAGAACTCTAGATGATCAGGAGAACATGAAGTTGATCGTATCGGAAACCCAAGCTCTTGCCAACAGCGAGTCTGATGGTCTGGCTCCAAGTCTGATGGTCTGGCTCCAAAGAAGAAACAGAGCGGTCTCAATGGTTCCACCATGTTCCACTGGAAGAATGCAATGAATTTACTCCAAGGACTTTGTCGAACGGTTTTCACACGGCTGGTACCTGACACGGAGTATGTTGCGTCCCGAGTTTTTCCTCAAGACTCAAGAATAGTATTTTATATTTTTTTTGTCAACTGTACATTCAGTTGAACCTTTGTTGAACCTTCGAGCCTTTCCCAGGAATTTGTCGTCAGAGGAGTTTACCCAAACCTTTGCAGATATGTCCAAGAGGAGATGGTTGGGCAAATGCTGACATGCTGACTAGTGATGAAGCTGTCAAATGCCGCTCGAAAGCAGTTGTTTTAGGGCCCAAAGCCCCTGGTTGAGATCACAGTGATTGACGAGACTTTCAACACTATGCTTTCAAGATCTGCAATTTCACTGAAAAGGAAGACTCTCACAGAAGCATAATGCAATTCAGTTGGCAACATATCAACAGGCATTTTGAACCTGGAAATCCCCAGCGGAGTTTGGCATGAAACTTGTCGGTGGCTGTCGAATGCCAGTGCACGGGTTCATGCCTCAGCTGGTGATTGGATGCCAAATTGTTGGAACGTGTTGTTTAATTGTGAGGGTAGCTTTTCCATATCGATTAGCTTCTTGGCGGGCAACTCACTTGGCTGATCAGCCAGGGTTCATTCATGTAGGGTGGACAGGACCAATTCTGCTGGAAACCATGGTTTTTCCAATGAAATATTGCGGTTCCTAATGATTCCTGCAAACTTTCCATTCAACCAGTCTGGCACCAGTCTTGGGATTGAGATTGACACTGGTTCCTGTTCTTCCGGGCTAAGGTCAAGTCCATGCTGCTCGCTGCCAGACGGGTTTCTGCATTTCGCCGAAGGGCTTTGTTTAGACAGACACGCAGTGCAGGCACTGTAGCACTGCCAGGATTTCTCAGATTCTGTGAATGTTTTTGGATGGTTCATGATTTTACAGAGTGTTTTTTTGATTTTGCACGCAGTGATGTCACAGTGATGTGTTCAAGGAAAGCAATGGAAAGGGATGGAACGGGAGGAAAGGGAGAGACTCGATCGATGCATCTTTTACTGGTGATATCTGGTGATCCTTGTGTTTGAGATTTCACCTTGGCAGGGACATCCAGCGATAGGTTCGTGTACATTGCCAGGGAGAGGCGGGGCAAACACTTAGCTTTCACAGGAGCCACACGGATCATGCAACTCCTAGAGGCTTGAGGAACTGCTTGATGCAGAAGTGGGCTACTTGAGCAAAGTCCCTATACATCCCTTTACTTTGCAGAGCTCTCAGTCCAGAAATTTGGTTTTGTCAGTATTTGTCACTACCACGATCTTATCATGGAACATGATTTTTCCTGAGGCAAGAAGTTCTGGGTCTAGGGTCTGCTGAGAGCTGCTCGGCTTGCCATGGCTTGCCCAAACGCAGACAAACTGTGCTTTCTGTTCACCTATGTTCACCTGCTTATCAACAAATACTATCAGCTACGTTGCTGAGGTTTGGCTGCCTGCATTTTAAACGACGTCCCGAAACGTTTCGCAGTACGAATCCGAATGATTGAAAGCTTAGGAGGCCGGCGCTGCCATCAACCTGTGTGGTCACAAGAGAACCTGTAGCAGCTTTCATCAGCACATAACCAGGATGGGACCACATTGAGGAGCTCAACAAGCTCCATTCCAGGATGAAAACATGGTGACTTGCTTAGCATTGGTGACACATGGTGACATCTATTGACAAGTTTGGCGGTTTTGTGTCTCTTCCTTGACTTGAGGTATCGGCGATTGCGGCTTATTGATCCTCAGAACGTGGATCTGCAGCACCTAACAGACCCTCGATGTGATTGCGCGATTGTAGGCTGATGCCTCGGGATTTGGCAAGTTTTGTTGTCAGCTGCGACCAAGGAGACGACTCGGGCGATCCGTCAAGAAGGGAGTTCGACTGCAGCTGCCTTGACTGGATTCAATATGATTCGATCCATTCTCTCAGGATCTCTCAGGTATGGGCTCTGAACGGCTGCATTATCTCTTGTTCACAATCAGTTGAGAACGTAATTCCATCATCCAGGTCGGACTTGTTGCTTTGGGTCGCCTACTTAGTGCCTTCAACTTCTGTAGGATTCAAGTGCTTTCACCTCACGTAGTTTGCTGATACCCCTTGCAACCTGAGGAATTTACAAACTACAACGAGCCAATGGCCAGTACACCGACGACGATCTCAACCATTTCCTTGATGGTTTCTTGCTTTCCCGCATAGGGAGCAACATGCTCCTGGACCAGAATCTCATCTCCATTACTGTAGTTGCTGGTGACTAGCTGCTACTAGCTCTAACAGGTTCTTTGAACTTCGATGTATAGGGTCTTGCAAACACACGTTTTTAGCTTTGCATGGGTTTATTCACGCTGTTTTGCTCAAAAAATATCAACAAATCTTGAAACCGTTTACTGTAACAACCCAACGATGGGAAAAGGCAGTGAAGCAATGGTTTTTCTCTCATGATGGTTATCCGTTTAAAATGAGTCGGACAGGCTTCGCCCAGTCCTGGTTCTTCAACAGTCGCTTTGCCAGCATAGGTACTATGCCCGAGCACCCAAAGAAGCAGGCAGCCCGATGCACTGCTTGTGCATTTCAGCGACACAAAGTGAAACGCCTTGCTTGCAGGTGGCTTGGCAAGGAAGACGGGAATCATTTCCCCGCGCTGTGATGCAGTTGCCCTGTGCAAGCAAGCTGCCGCGTATGCATCGCGCATTTGCCACTCAGCTTGCTTTTGGATCGTTGGTTGTTTGCACAATACAGTCTGCGCCGTCTGCGCTCGCATTCTGAGA